GGCAAATAACAAGCTTGTGCTGTCCGTCTTGTTCGACGGATAAATGAGCTTGACTCTGTCAGTCCTTGCGTGCCTGTTGGGAGAGCACTCACAATGATGGACAATGGCGTTGCATGCAAGGGCGTCAGTTTGTTTTCAGAATTGCTGGGGACAATAACCATACACTTGAGTGGGGTTTAAAAATTGCTGGGGACAATAAAGTAGGCTAGCACAGGGGTCGGCAATCCGCGGCTCTGGAGCCGCATGCGGCTCTTACATCCATCTGATGCAACTCTCTGTGCTTGTAAAATAATAAATGGATATTTAAATAAAATGCTTTATATTTTACTGCATTAATTTTACACCTGTATGCCAATTCTAAATGTAGATTGTCTGCGTAAACCTGAACAGGTCCAACCCGGTCTGCGGTGGTTGACCGGTCACGCTTGTGCGTAATCATATAGGCACTTTATGAGCTGAAGAGGATGTGAGATTCTGGGCTTCTCCTCAGACGGCTCCTGGATGTGTCGCCACATTGGAGCCAGGAACAAGCACTATTCAGCCAAAGTTTCATAATCAGGGAACATTTTCTAAGTGACAAGTCTCTCTGAGAGACAGGGTTTGGAAAACACTCGCTTCAGTGGGAGGAATCTTCCCGCATGCGCACTGCATGGTTCTCTGGGTGGCTCTAGGGTTAATCAAGTTTAATTGTTTCTCTTTGCAACAATCTTCACAGGAAGGCAAAACAGTTAAACGGCAGGTTTCAGATATTTCCATTTGACTGTTTATTTTGACAGATGAACTCAAGGATGTTGCTTGGTTTGAAAAAATTACCCCGACGCACACGGATGCTCATGGATGAGCTGACATTTTAATCGTTAACGCACACGCGGAGGTAAAATATTCCCATCAGAACATCAGAGCTCTTTATACTGGACACTGTGTTCAGCGCGGCTCGGAGCGCCCCCGGTGGACAGTGAGCTGAAGATCTGGGGTTCGCAGTGCAGAACCACGCGCATGCGATGATTTCCTCCCACTGAAGCGTTCTGGAAACCCGGTCTCTCTGAGGGATGTGTCACTTGGAAAATGTTCTTTTTATGAAATTATGAAACTTTGGCTGAACAGCGCTTGTTCCCGTCTTCCGCATGAAGCGAAGAGACATTTGATCATGCACAAAGTTCATGTGGAGCAGAAGCGGTCGAGCCACGGCAGATGAAACGTTCCTAGCCTACATGAAGGGAAACTGTTTAATTGTAACATTAATGTGTTACTGGACACGCTGGTCTGGTTGGTTAGACCAGTGTTTGAAGTGGAAAACACACACACACACACACACACACACACACACACACCAATTAAAATATAAAATAATGCTGATAGCGTGGACTAGAAGACAGGTGATGGTTTACGTATTTAAATGATGATCAGGCTGCTGTAAAATGTAATCTCCATCCACATCCAGACACAATTATCCTCTAGTCTTTCTCTAGTCGCTCTGCTCTTGTCTGGGCTGATCAGCTGATGGTGCGCGCGCGCCTAACTAGCGGCTGATGCACATTTTACGCATTTGGAGAGGTGGACTGGATGCTGTGCGTTTACTGGAAGATGGTCCACTTAACGCACGGGTGTAGACTACATATTAATGACAAATGAATGAAAATTAAATTGTGAGTTTTTATTCATATTTTAGAAATAAAAATGACGGGGGAACACATTTATGACATCTTTTTAAACGAAATTTTCTAGCGCGACCTGCCTGCTTCACTTAAGTCACTGCTTATTAAGGTCCGTCCAAAATTACCGTGGGAAACGGGTAATAATGGTTCTTTGATGGGAACAGGGTGCCGACCCCTGGATAAGATCTGAGCTGGTAAAACAAAAATCCTCATCAGCAGGCGTTTTTGAAAGTGGGGGGGACACAGCTGCCAATCACAAATTTTGCCGGGGACATGTCCCCGGCGTCCCCGGTTAAAATGACGCCTATGGTTGCATGTCTCCAATGCTGACGAAGGAGCATAAACACGCTTAAGGCAAACCGGTAAAATATACATAGAACTGTGCTTACTGTTTACTACTACTACTACTCGGTACACTGAAAAAAGTCTTTGGATCAACTTAAAAAAAGTTCTTTATTATTTGCACCTATGTTAATCTGGTTTTTCCTAAACAATTTTTTTAATTTGGTTCAAAATTGCGAAGCGACTTGAAAGCTTAAAGGGACTTTATGAACTTTTGAATTTTTATGCTCGCGATTGCCCCCTCAGGCCAAAAGCGTAACGGCAGCTTCAATAGTAGGCTCGTGCATGAGGCACATATGCTGTACGTGCACACTCCTTAACGAAAATAACAGCTGAGACAGTCCCGTGTGTGTGTGTGTGTGTGTGTGTGTGTGTGTGTGTGGCTCGGAGGACAGAGGACAGGAGAACGCGCAGCTAATTAATTAAATGATTTGGTTCTGTTCCTTTCTCTTCAGCACAGCCGACAAAGGTTTATGATGGGTCTGTCCTCCTGCATGCTCACATCATTCCCTTCCCTTGCTTGAAAAATTGTTCCAAAATGAAAGTTGAACCCACATCTTTTTTATCTGTGAATTCAATGCCGTTCAGCGAGTCTCAAATAAAAATTTGGGCATCTTACTGTAAAAAATATACCATTAATGTTAAAAATAAACTCTAAATGAACCATGTTCACATCCAGAATCAAACCCAGGTCTTCTGCATGGGAGTCAGACATCTTACAAGGTGAGCTACACTCTAGTAACATTCACAGTATCTGTAAAATTTATATCCTTGATGACAGCTGAAACTACATCAAACCAAAGAACGGTTCGAAGCGAAAATGGCTATTTTGTTGCTAATTTGCAGGAAATATCTAGAAGAAAGTTCTACAGAAAGTAGCTAAGGGTCCTCAGAAATGTAGCTAGCTTTGTCACTAGGCGTTAGGAACAGCGACAAAGTGGCACTGCCTCTCTCTCTGCTGCTAAAGCTACGGATAGCAAATGCTACGGGCTATGCCTGAGCGTGAACGCGCATGAAGCAGCCTGCTCGACCCGAGCATCTCTCTTTTTCTGTGATTTTACAGAAAAACAGGCAAACACAGTAAAAATGCCAGGGCTCATTCTACAGGACCAGGGCATTGCAGGAGAATGTATGAAGAAGACATTTATTATTTCTATACATGTTTTGGCTGTCAAACTTCCATAATGTCCCTTTAAAATAAACATCCACATCAGCAAAGTAAAAAATTACTTCAGATAAATTGCACATACGTTTTACTTTTTTCAGCTCAAAAATACAAGTTCATTTAGCAAATGTTTTAAGTATGTACTGGTTTAGTTGTAGTCATTTTCATTTAAGTACGTTTTATTTTGTAAGTATTTGTCGCTCCCAAACACAAATACCTACTCCTATTCACTCATTATTTTTGCATGCTTTTTTCAAGTAAGACTAACTAATCCGACTTTACAGTGCACATTACAGTCATGTGGTTAAAAAAGGTTTCTTGAGGTCTGAGCATCAGAATCTTCTGATGCTCAGAAAATTTAACTATGAAGAGTTTCAGATGAGATATGAAAAGTGCTTCACTCATCACTTTCAGTGTGAGTTCAAAATGAACTAAAGTCTGTGTTGGTGTTTAGGTTCAGTCTAATGAGCTTCGAGTTATGAAAAGTCCAACTTTTCAGGTAAACTCAATCTTTTTGATGTAAAGTCTGTTTAAGCTCCAAAGAAGCTGTACAATACCATTTAATCTACATTTTACAGTGGACCAATAAAGAAAGTTTCAATTCAACTTTGTTTTCTTGTATTTTTTTCAAAGTTCTGGTTGAGGAAAATGGAAAGAAAAATCGTGACAGGAAGGAGAACAGAAAGTAGTATAGATGCTTTAATGCTTAAATAAATCTGATTGCAATTTGCTCCTATAACATTTATTATTTAAGTCAATTAAACAAATAGTTTTCCAATCCCTCAGCAGATTGGATTAAAGATTTAAGATGTTTTTGATGATTTTATTGGATCTTTTTATTCTTTTGTAAACATCAAGGTAATGAAGTTTTTTCATGTGTAATTTTTTTAATAACGTTTCATCTAATTTAGTCTCTTTTGCTTTATCAATTTGGCCATCGCTGCTGGAGTCTTTCATCTCCATCCTACAAGGGCAATGTGTGTGTGTGTGTGTGTGTGTGTGTGTGTGTGTGTGTGTGTGTGTGTGTGTGTGTGTGTGTGTGTGTGTGTGTGTGTGTGTGTGTGTGTGTGTGTGTGTGTGTGTAGCTGATTTGCATACAGCTGAATGGGTTTGCCTCCCGTCCCGCACACAACACCCGCATGCGGGTGCGAGAGGGGCACGCGCAGCAACAATATAGGCACGCAACCATTCGCCGTAAAGTAAATACAAGCGAGATTATGAGGGGGCGCGCGCCACAGACAAGATGAAACACGCCCCAGAAAAACATATCAAGATAAAAGCAGCTTTGTAACATCCGTGCGTGCGTGCGTAAAAAGCTATTTATTGAAATGAAAAGGTTCTGGTGAGCCCGTTAGGAATGGATGCGACGTAAGGGGCGCATAAAACATCGATTCGCGAATTAAAACAACTTCAATGATACGTGTTCCACATTTAATCGCATTTCTGCCGTCATTATTTGTGATCCATCCCGAGGGACACCCATGTGACCCCCTCAGAGAGGGGCACCTTCGGAGAGGAAGGGTTCCAAAGCTTGACTGAACTAATTAGGCGTGCAATTGAGCGGAACCGATGGCAAAAGACTGCATGGAGTTGGAATTTAAAGTTTAGAGTTCTTTCTTTCTTTTCTTCGTGCGTAAAATGTGCGCAAAAAATGAGACAGGAGGGTTGGTTAAAAGAAATCGCCCAGTTAGCATGCGCGGCCAGTCATCTCCATGCCAGTGGGTATTAAATTTGGATAATTGTTGTTAGGGTGGAAGAGAAGGGGGTTGAATTTGTGGAGTGGGCGGTGCAGATGGGTGAGTGACAGGCTCGAGTCTATATATCTGGGAGGAGACGCACTACGGTTCATTCACTAGTACTAAGAGGAGTGAAAAACATCCGTGGCGCACTGACGCACCGAGTTCGGCACCAAAACAAGCCTCACAGCGGAGTGGCACATTGTGGAGTACAGTGTCGGTTGAGGAGAGGACGCCTGCTTTGGATATTAGTCTTCCCCCTTTTCACCTTTTGGATAACTTGGAGATTGGAAACGCTTCTCTGGACGCGTTTGACGCACGGATACTTAGATCTCCCCCGGAGTGGAGGATTTATTTGTGTTTTAGGGTTTTTTTCCCTCGCCAAATTGTTTTTCTTGGTGTAAATTCTTAGGAATAAAAGGGTTTTTTATTTGTTGGTGACGCTGCTGTCCTGGAGAAACGAGAAGGATGGCAGCCTGGTTCACCTTTACCATTGCATTCAGCACCACGTTAATATCGCAGGTATGGAGGAGGATCTGCTGGTCCTGAATCCTTGATGAAAACACAAGGAGACCAGTGTTTTATTTTTATTTTTTCAACAGAATGAGCGGCGCTATTCCAAAATAATCTCTCCCTCTCTTTTTATTTAGGTATGTGCTTCTGGAGTTTTTGAGCTGGATCTTCACGAATTTAAAAACCTTAAAGGTTTGCTGGCGAACGGGAACGTATGCAAGCCCAGCTGCAGGACTTATTTTAAAATTTGCTTGAAGAACTACCAGGCTGTGGTCTCGCCGGGTGACTGCATCTTTGGGAGTACAATGACACCGGTGCTGGGTACAAACTCTTTCAGCGCCAAGGACAGTGGCACTTTACAGGGGCCGATCCAGATCCCGTTCAAGTTCGGATGGCCGGTAAGGCGTGCGCGCGCGCGCGCACACACACACACACACACACACAGTGCCATTTGTCTGCAGCGCTCTTGTTTTCGTGGAACAGCTGCGCGTTTAGGAGCGCACCGGTTTATTGGTCAGCTCATCTAAATCCTTATCATTAGGTAATGCTCTGAAGACCGATTGAGCTACCGCGACACTGTTCACTACAGAGGCTCATGCGGAGATCACCGTTCTTCTCCTCACGCATTTATTGCTGCAGAAAAAAGTGCAAGATCGACTCATTCCCTAACAATTAATTGATTGTTTTTAAGTGCACCTGTTTTTTTTCTCCTCAGGGGTCATTTTCATTAATAATTGAAGCATGGCATTCACCTTTTGGAAATCTACCTGTAGGTAAGTACAACGTATCTAACCACAGGAGGGAGCTGTGTCTGTATATGTCACACGTCAGGCTTTCCCTTCTCTTTTTTTCACCCGTTGACACCCAAAGAATCCAACCCTGGGTAATTTAATGTTACCAAACATTACTTTCTTCACCTTATGTTAATTGTTCACAATTTCAGACACTTTTCATGCCTTTTCATTCCTTTGTTATGAACTTCAGAACACCTTTTTCATTCTTATACCCAATACAATTGAACTTCCTCCGTAGTTTATTTTTGGCGTGGGAACGAGCTGTGGGCTTTGGTGAGAATACACAGTGCCTGCCAAAAGCCCCTGACTACATCTTCCTGTATTTTACACCTTACTCTGTACCCTTTTGGAAGAGGGAACCAGGCCTGGGAATGTTTTTGCTGATGAAGAAAGAGGAAATATCAACCTAAGTTCATGGGATGTGATAAGGGATGCAGCTTGCTGCTGGGCAGATTATTAAAGAGAAAGCACATGCTGATTCTGCAGGAGGGAAGGCTTAAACCATCCTTCCTTTCTCATCTTTCTGTTTTTTATTTTGTTCTTTTTCAGAAACCAACAACCCAGACTTTATGATTAGCTCCTTTGCCACCCAAAAACAGCTGGGTGTAGGAACTGACTGGTCCCAAGATACACAAACTGGAGCGCAGACAGAGCTGAGATATTCCTACAGGTTCGTCTGCAATGAGAGCTACTACGGGGAAAGTTGTTCCAAAAAATGCACGCCCAGAGACGATCGCTTTGGACACTACACCTGCACCAGAGATGGACAGCTTTCCTGTCTCCCAGGCTGGAAAGGGAAATACTGCGAAGAACGTAAGCAATCAACCTCTTACGCAGTCTATGTTGGTTGTTCTGTTAGCTGTGTGAACTGTTAGTGCTGTCTTGAGTTGGTTTTATTTCTGAATCTGAGATAATGGTGGTGGATGCTCCTATAAATGTCTCTCACCCTAATTGTACCTAAAAGGAGAAGTTAGAGATAGCAGTGGTGTTTAAGATGTCACCATCATTGAAGCTTGTGGATGTTAAACTAGACTTAATGATATCTTAAAGTCTGGCGGAGAAAGTGGTGCAGACATTTTCCTCGCCCCATACATAAAGTCATATATTTCTGACATGTAATGGGTTGTGGGTTTGTGAAGACACAGACTGTTTGGAATGGCATTATACTCGTGCAAACCTCACTTGGCCAAATCGCAAACCAGAATGCCATTTGGCTCCACAATACCAAAAGGGGCCCTCTCACCAAATGCCAATTAATCAACGAGTTGATTGGAAGGAGGCACTGTGAGAGTAATAGTTACCATGTGCTGGATGTGCAACCACATGACGGAGGATCTGTCACCCGTGTCACATGGCGGTGAAAGAGAAACTGGCATGTGCTATTTTTTGACTGTGGCGCCAAACTCTAACCAGATGGGCTCACGTGTTGCAATTACACTTGCACATCAATCGTTGATGACTACAGAAAATATACATGAGAAAGACAGATTGAGCATCTTTCAGACGCCATAATTTCCACTCGCTCCCACACTCCCACACATAAATCTGAACAAGCCTGGTCATTTGGGTTCAGTAGAGACTCCCGGTTTCTTTCCATCCTTTTTTTCCATCTTCTGTTGCTGCTTTTATTATTTTTAACAGCATTTCATTATTGAGCTGCTTTTATTTGCATGCTTTTATTGCTTCTTTTATGGTTCTGGACCAGTTCTTTTATGCACGAAACACTTAAAGCAATGCTTGTTGTGTTCCCCTACCAAAAACTGTTCCCACCTGATTTACAGTCGATGAGGTGTTCTCATCTCTGCTAAAATGTTCATCATCATGCAACAATGAGTAAGTTGCACAGATGTAATTATTATTTCTTAGGTATGTAGGAAAATGTCGTAACACTGAAATAATTCAATATTTCGTGTTTTGATACATAATAGAAATTTTAAAGCGGTGTATTGATTTGTATATTTGCTGTATTTCTTCTGTTTGGTGCAATTCAAACTCCAACTGCTAGGTGGCAGTAGTTTTTACTGCCTTCATTTTGATGGAACAAGATTGTGGATGTGTCAGCGTCGAACCTGAGCTTTCCAATTAAATCCAGTCATAAAATTTACAGACATCGCCTGGCTTTTAGTATCATAATATATTGTATTGTCTGTATTATTGTTCATTTTTCAAAAAAAAAATCATATCACAGTTTTGGGCCATTCGTGATTTCTGTTTTTTTTTTTTTTTTTCTTTTTTTACTGAAAAGAGGTCGAACTTTATGCAAATTTGGTCTGGTGACAACCACATTCCAAAAGTAAGTGTCAAATTTGGATCACCACCACTCGGGCTCCCACCCACCTCTGCCCGCCTTTGAAATCAAAATTGCATCCTGATGGAAAATAAATATATTTTTAAATGTGTTATTATATTTTCTTGCAGAATTTTCATTAGAAGTCTTCAGACATCAGGATGTTTCCACTCAAGGAACATTATTTTTACATTTAAAACAAATAGAAGAACATCAATAAATTATTAATAAATATATTATACTTTTTAGGACATTATTTTCAAATGCTTTTAAGAAAAAAAGCAAAAATGTCAACTCTGCCAATGGTAATCAACTTGCTATTTATAAAGAAAATAAAACAAGTTTATTTAGCTGCGTGTTTTATTACAGAGATCAACATTAAGCTGCTGAAGAAACGCCATAAACGACGAATTAAACCCATATTTTGTCCTTTTAGGGACGCGCGTGCCCGGTAACATAATCCGCACGCGAGGGGAGGGGCGCGCGGGCATCAATAGGAGGAGTCCGGGCGACTGCACGCGCCAAGGTTAATCGCGGCATTATTATCCGCCACGCGCCACCGATGTTTAGCCCTCTGCCATTGTTGGACGCGCGGCAGTAGCAGCTGCAAATATGGTTGTGGCAGACCACAAACAACAATAGTGACAGCTGTCTGCTATTGAGAGCAAGCATCTGTTCTGGACTAAAGCGGGCGCTTACTGTCAGTCCGCCTGATATGTCGTCCTGAGAATCAGTGTCATGCCGGACCGGTACACTTAAAACGGGACAAACAAACAGCCTGAACCCCCCTCCATAGCCCAGCCACCAACCCCTCTCAGGGGGCAGCTGGGGGTGTGGTGAGGCTGGCAGGTTCGGAATGACAAAAAGTTGAGCCTCGTGTGCTTCAGCACACACGCTCGAGTTGGCTATTTCAAGAGAATAAAAGCTCTTCATCCCAGGTTGTTATTATGGAGCATTAATGGATTATCAGACATTTTTACAGGCTTTCGTATCTAACTGGGATTTTTCAGACATAAAACATCACATCAAATTCTGATTAGCGATAAAAAAAAATTATTTGGTGTTTTTCTTTCTTTTTCTTACAGCTATTTGTCTTGAGGGTTGCAGTGAAAGGAACGGAAACTGCTCCAAACCCGGGGAGTGTTTGTAAGTATCGGTAATTATAAAGTGTTGAAACGTGTGTGTGTGTGTGTGTGTGTGTGTGTGTGTGTGTGTGTGTGTGTGTGTGTGTGTGTGTGTGTGTGTGTGTGTGTGTGTGTGTGTGTGTGTGTGTGTGTGTGTGTGTGTGTGTGTGTGTGTGTGTAAGAACATAGGAACAGGAGTTGATTTCAGGTGGAAATTCTTGCCTTCTCCAAATCCTCCCGCTCTAAAACAAAAATTACCAGCTGTTTTTGCATTTGTAATCCACTAAGAATGGCCTGAAGTTCACAAAAATCAACAAAATTTCTCTCTGGTTTCCCTGCATCACTCAGCGACTTCCCCACTTCCCATGTTGCCTTCCTGTCACTACCTCGTCTCTTTCACTCACTCACCAGTGAGACTAATTCTCACACACATACATCATCTGGCTGGGAGAAATTCCTTCTAAAGTCCATTTTTGTCCATGTTTTGGGTTTAAATCCGTCATTGACGGCACAAACTGACCCAAATTTGGGTTAAATCCTTTCGATACCAAAAGCTGCTTTTTAACAGTACAGCCAGGCCTGATAAAGTTGAGAATAACAGTTGTGAAAATTAAAAACTGCAAAAACAAACCTTTTGTTTGTTTTTTTATTAGGTTATTTTTATTACTTGTCTGAAGGCAGATTTGATGAATCTGTAGATAAAAAGTAGATTATAGGTGATGATGAAACAACATTATGAAAAATAAACATTCTGGCTTATAGAGGATTCCACACTCTGCTGGAATTTTTCAGATATCTGTAATTAAGTAAAGTATCAAGTAATAAGTATCTTTAACATGGGGGGGGGGGGGGGGGGGGTTACAAGGGGTGGACTGGCCTATCTGGCATTCTGGCACTGTCCTGGTGGGCCGCTTAGCCAAGTGGGCTGCTTGCCCAGCTTGGGCCAACACTACTCCACAGTTGGTGATCTGCAGAACATTAGCTACATGGTGACCTGAAGCTAACAGAGTTTTTCCAGGCATTTTTAGCGAGAAAAACGCGGTAGAGCGATGACGTAGGAGTTATTTTACCGCGTTAGCATGTAGCTAATGTCCCGCTGATCTCCGCCCGTGGAGACTGAGCTGATCTTAAAGGTCAGGGCTCCCGGTCGCAACGGTCTGGCACTGCTTGTAATTTAACAGTCCCAGTCCAAACTAGGTCTCACATTCGGCCTAGAGACAAGTCCGCGGGCGGCAACACCCCCCACCCCCATCTCTCTCCCAATTGGGAGGGCCGACGATTCGTAAAAATGCCAGGGTCGAATTTTGGTCCCAGTCCACACCTGGAGGTTACTAAAGTTACATGACCAATTGCTGATTTCTTTAAATGATCGCCAGTAAATCCCAAAACAGCTCCACATAAAACACGATTGTTTGGTTTAAATCAGTCAATTTCCTGTTTTATTTGATGTGTTCATTCAATAAAACTTGAAATGATTGGAAACAGTGAGTAATCAAGACTTTTGTTGTGACTTTTCAGATGCAGAGAAGGCTGGCAGGGCACTTTCTGTGACGAGTGTAAGAAGCATCCAAACTGTAAGCACGGTACCTGCCAGCTGCCGTGGCAGTGCGACTGCCAGGAGGGCTGGGGAGGCATATTTTGTGACCAAGGTATACCACACAACTTGGACCACTGCTGCTGTACCTCTTCAAAAAGAGCCTCTCATATTACATGTGCACTGTTTTTATTTGAATTAACTGAAAGCATTAGTAAATTAGCTTTTACACGCACCAGCATCCAAAGCAGGCAGCTCAATTTTCTTCCCTCAGGCACCTTCCTCTCTGCGTTCCAGATCTGAACTTCTGCACCCATCACCGGCCCTGTTTGAACGGCGCCACCTGCATGAACACGGGCCAAGGGAGCTATACGTGCACGTGTTTGCCTGGATACACGGGGGTTAACTGTGACCTGGAGATGCAGGAGTGCGACAGCAACCCCTGCAGAAATGGAGGGACATGCGCAGTAAGCAGGCCTTAGAATAATACCTGTTGATTATTAGATGATTTGTTTGTTCTTATGTTGGCTCATTTATGTCTTTGCTTCGTAAGACTCTAGAGGGCGGCTACATCTGCAAATGTCCTAAAGGGTTTGAGGGCTCCCACTGTGAGCACAACCTGCTGACATGCGCCGACTCTCCGTGTTTCCAAGGCGGTAAATGCTGGGAGAAATACAATGGCCGCAGCTACAAGTGCGAGTGTCCCCCTGGATTCACTGGACTCAACTGTGAGAAGAGAGTGGACAAGTGCACGTCGCTTCCCTGTGCTAATGGTACGGTTTTCCTCTCCTCTTTGCCCCCCTCCTCTTCCCTTTCTGAACTTCCCTTTGCACCCACCCCTCCACCCCCACCCTTTCTCGCTTTAAATTCTTGCAACTGGAAGCCGTGTGGAACAACAGGAATTGCTGGGAACTTGGTGTCTATTGTCCTCCATATAAACATTCAGCAGCTCAGAGCAACGTCCTGTAAATGTCACCACAACTCGCTGCGGTTGTTGATGAAAGGGGGACAAATAACCGAGCGCAGTTTGGTTTCTGTCTTCTTGTAAACGCTGAGGTTCTGGGATTGCTCTGTGTTGTGAGAACCATAACACAGTGTTGTGTGGTCACACTGGATTTGACGGTGATGAGTGAACTCAGCCGGCCCTTGCGGGAGGTCTTAACGGGGATCATGTTTTCTCTAATTTTGAATATCTTTTAATTTCATGAGGTGTATACTCACTGTCCACCATTTCTCCTGTAGGTGGACTGTGTGTGCTCCAAGGAGGCATGCGTATGTGTAGCTGCCGTACGGGATTCCTCGGACAACGCTGCGAAATAAACGTCAATGAATGCGTTGGTAAACCCTGCCTTAATGGAGGCACCTGCCAAGACAGAATCAACGACTACTTCTGCGTTTGTCCTGCGGGATATGGAGGACGTAACTGTGACAGAGTCCTGAATGAGTGTTCCCTCCAACCTTGCCTCAATGGAGGCAGTTGCACTGGAGGCGGCGGGCCAGGAAAGTCTCCAGCAAATTGCGTCTGCCCTCCAGGCTTCACCGGACCTCGTTGTGAATCCCTTGCTACCTTCGCCTCTCCGGATACGGGCGAAGACGGCTTCCAGTGGGCAGCTGTCTCTTTGGCTGTGGGTCTGGTGGCACTGCTCGTGTTGTTGTGCATGGTGGGCTTGGCCTTGCGGCACATCCACAGACATACACGAAGCCGAGCGGGCGAAACAGAGACCATGAACAACTTTACAAAAGTTCCGGGGGATAACCTGATCCCAACATGCCAGCTGAAAAACACCAACCAGAAACTCAGCCTGGAGGTGGACTGCGATTCAGAGAAATCAAACTTCATCCATAAAAACTATCACTTGGACCCTTACGATTCTAAATCGAAACAGTTCAAGGACGAAACTTCGCAAGAGGATAAAAGCCTTATTTATGGGAAGTGTTTAGAAGATAAAATGCCTTTGAGTAGAGTGTACAGGTAAGAAAGGCTTCCACGTTGTCTCTTCATGTTCCCCCATCTCCTATAAAATAAAAGTGTACATACGGAGCCCCACTGAGTAGAAATGTTAATGAGAGTCTCAAGTGCTATAAATCGTTGACTTGAACCCCTAGTTTGGTTTTACAAGCATGCATTTTTTGCAGCTGCCAGTCTTTGTGACTAGTTTCATTTGTGTAATACTGTTTTCCCTTCTGATTTTAAAATGCATTAACACGTTTGGTTTGTGTTTGCAGTGAAAAGCCAGAGTGTAGAATATCTACAATATGTTCTTCAAGAGACTCTATGTACCAGTCGGTATTTGTTATAGCAGAGGAGAGGAGGGAATGCATTATAGCAACTGAGGTAAGCTAAAACATAAAAAATACAGCTTCATCTGCATTTTCTTGGATAATGTTTCCAGTGCATTACGTCATCCTAAAGTACGATCCCTCATAGAGATTTAGCCGTTCTTGTGAAGCATTGTCTATTATTTACACCAAAAAAGAAGAAATTCTACATTTTATTAGTTTCCGTAAATTATGTTGGCTATTCTTTATCTTGGACCCAAAATCCTTATTTATTATAATTTCCCACACATGTTTGGCTCTTTTTGGTCTCGAAGGTGCTATATTTCACTGTAATGGTGTTAAAGTAGATTTTCTCCTATTTCCAAGTTAAATATAATGGGTATTATGAGCTTTTATCGTCAAAACAGTGCTTACAGAGTCTGACTTCATTTTCATTGTTCTTTGTATTTGGTTTTAATCCAATATTCCCTTCTTTTATTTTTGCCCTCAGGTATAAATGATGAGGGGTCAGAAAATGTTTGGACGGAGACACAATCGAGGCAGAATTGAATATATTCTGGATTGTTTACAAATGCCGATAAAGGAGGACTGGACTGGAGATCGTTTTAGATGTTCAACCGCTGCTCTGGGATGCTTAAAAACTGGAGAGGGACACAACTAAACAAAGAACTGATTGATTTTACAGAGTGTGTGTGCAAAGCGTGTACAGTGCAGGACCTTTTCCAGTCGTGTCAATGGTCTAGAGAAGAGACAGGCTACACGATACATGAAGACTGCTGGAGCATCTGTGAAATGCTCGCTCATTATCTTGGCCAACTTGGACAGTAGAAGGAGGTGGAAGAAGTGGATTATTGCCCCACGTGTCTGACCTGGCCTTATTCGATAATCATGACTTTGAAAGCCAACCAATCAGTGAAAAACAGTGCCTAAGATTTGACCCTTTTCAAATCACCCCCCAGCCCCTATTCCCAAATCTCACTCCTGCCAGCTTTGCCTGCTATGCAAGACTCAGGGTCGAAAGGAGTGAACCCGCCCGGCCCGCCGTCACGATCCAACTTCAGCAACGGTGACAGAAAAGCTACAAGGAATCTTCAACTGTCAATCGTGTGAAAATGACTGGTTGTGGTTTGTTGGCGTGCGGGTGGTGATTGTATGCAGCCCAAGTTCACTAGAAGCCTTAAAAGAGGGGGTTTTCAGTGTGTGCCCTTGTCTGTTCTTGGTTCATTTGCACTACAAGAAAAATAAATAAAAAGCAGCGAGGGAAAACACGTTTTGAATCAAAGGGAAAATCACAGGAGCCCAACAGTCAGTGCAGTGCCAGCAGGATCCTAAAGAACAAACACATAGAAAACACGTTTTTATGCAAAATAGAAAATGAGGAGAAAAGACTGTCACACCACTGCCTGCCTATAATAACGATTCAAAAGCAGAAGAACCAATAATGTCATTTTTTTATTATTATTTCCAGAGTTTAATTTAAATACGACACTGTTCTTTACATGTTTTATAATATTATTTTGTATATAATGCATATTTATAAGGACCAAACTTCTGAAGAATAAAACTTCCTTGCAAACTGTTTGTCAGTAAACGGAAAGAGGGGATTATTTTTGATGTGTTTTTAAAATAATGACACTGAAAACAAATGACGATCAGTTGTGTCTTGTGTTTTTTTCATATTTGAAGGGATTTTGGGGAGATTTTGAAATGTGTTTTTGTCTGAAAGTCATAAATAATTACAGTCTTACTTATTGTAGATAGATTCTCTACTCTTAAGTTCCCCTTGCATGAAGGAGCTTCTGACCTTATTTCTAAGACTAATCCCAGCATCAATATGAAAGAAACTTCTATCAGCCATCTAGGATCTTATTCATGTGACCTAAGACCTTGTGCACACGTGAGTAGTCCATAATAAGAATGTTTTTTCTATGATTTGGCCAATCATATGCTACTTGGGGCGACGGTGGCACAGGAGTTAAGTGCTCGCCCCGTAATTGGAAGGTTGCAGGTTCGAGCCCCGCTCAGTCTGTCGCTGTCGTGTCCTTGGGAAAGACACTTAACCCACGTTGCCTGCTGGTGGTGGTCGGAGGGACCGGTGGCGCCAGTGCTCGATAGCCTCACCTCTGTCAGTGCGCCCCAGGGCAGCTGTGGCTACATTGTAGCTCATCCCCACCAGTGTGTGAATGTGTGTGTGAATGGGTGAATGACTGATTGTGTTCTAAAGCACCTTGAGGGGTTCCAGGACTCCAGGAGGCGCTATGTCAAATACAGGCCATTTTCCATTTACTAAAAACAATTCTTTCAAAAAGTCCAATGAAAATGGAGATTTTCTAATTCTTCGTTGTCATCATTTGCTTGTGAACGTAAATAACCAGAGTTTTAGGTTTTGCGATGTTGCTGCTCAAGACAAAACTCGCTCTGACATCACATGTGAGACCTGTGTTTACAAATTCAATAGCTGCTGTGTGTAGAAGACCATAAGAAAGGACGACAATGAGGATGGTTATTGCCCACCACCTATTCCACGATTTGTGGAACTACTGCCCCCTACAGGACTGGCAGGATTATTAATGTGACTCAGTGCACTGAATTATTTTAGCTGAAAACAAGGTGGTGTGAACCCAAGTTTTTTAGATCGGCGAGGGATGAACTTTGGTTTTGCAGATGTTGGCCAAGTGTGTACATGACCTCAATCTCATGGTAATAAAGTTAGGTTTGGAAAGAAGATGAGCGAGCCAACTGAGAGCTTCCACCCTTTAATTTAATTCTTCCTTCAGACAACACTGATCCATCATTGGTCCATCAAGACATCAAGATCTGACCCGCATACCACCCATGTGATTGTTATTTACAAACATGTCAAATCTTACAATACATGATTATTAGCATGAAATTTTCTACTTGTTTAAATGTGGAAACATCACCTCCAGCAGTGATGTACTTCCTGTGAATCCTGAACCAAGTTAAACAGGATTTTTTTTTAAATGCTGCTTAAATGACCCCAACTTTCCACTGGCTGTGAAAGCAGTCGTGTGACGTAATAGCGGCGTTCTGCCCGCAAGTTCACTCCTAACCGGCAGCAATTCAGACTCGAAACGGAGATGAAAGCGTTCCACACAGCTGGTCCCGTGACATTACAAAATCACGGGAGAATTGAAACACCACACGTAATTTCAGAAGTCCACACACAAAAATAAACAAGAAGACAGACAGCTGTATGCATCAAAAAAGGTCTGTGGGTTATTTTCTGTGCTGTTTTCATTGGTTACAGAAGTTCACGGGTAATGATGTAATGCATGTGACTTTTATTTTGAAAGTTTCTAGATGTTCTACATTGATTTTGTGTTTGACTTCCTGTCTGGCTCAACCTAAACTGCGGAGTTCGACTTGTTTTGGAAGCGTTGCGTGTCAAAAATAAACTCGAAACGTAATGATAGCGTGCCTCGCTACCTCACACTTCGATGCCGGTGGGAAGGAAGTCATCCACTATAACAACTAATTGCCACATAGTATACGTTATGTGGCAGTTTTGCAACGCTTTCACGTGGAGTGGAAAGTAAGGGTTAAGATTTGATATGAACTGCAAATTCTAAATGATTGGAGCTGTTTTTAAAGAACATCAGTCCACTGGGGCCAGTCATTGTTTTGTCAGAAGAATGCAGACTCTATTTCTCTAAACAGAGGTTGTTCAGAAAGCTATATAAAACAAAACATTGAAACACTTGATAAAGTGGCTGAAAAAAATCCCTGTGGCCTTGAAAAATGAAAAGTGTTCTTGATTCAGTCTTTTTTAGCATCTCAAATGTAGTTTTTCCTTTTTTACGGTTCATCGAGATGAAAAGCTTCCCCTGCTTGGAGCATCACTACCTCGAGTAATTCCTGGAAACGCTTGTTGGCTCACTCACTCACCCACCCCTCCACCCCCATCCTCTCTCTCTCTCTCTCTCTCTCTCTCTCTCCGGCCTCTAAATTGGCTTGAAATTCAAATCCGTTTCCACGGAAACCACCCCCTCAAGCTGGAAATGGTGAAACAAAGCCAGGCGCAAGGGCAAAGGGGAACCTCAGCCCCTCACCCCTTATAATGCTTGCACACGCATCCATGCACAGACACACAGCCAGCCAAACAGATGCCGTGTGGGGGGGGTCAAAGTGAGTCTGCGGTACCATAAAAACAGCAGCATATGCCATGCCTCTCACCCCGTGTACATGACCCACAGAGTGCACAGACCTCCTTCCATAAAAATAAAAGATGTATACACTCAGGCTCCCCCAACTGCCTGCTTCCCCCCTCAGGGTTGGGAGCAATATTTCAATGCTCGGTCCTGTACCACCCACTCTAACAAACAAAGCTGGGGAGAGGACCTGGCACTGGTGTGCATATGAACAGAGGGGAGGGCAAAACCAGATGGGAGCCAATGGCTCTGCAAGGAATCGACATAAATAAAAAGATGTCCTATAGAAAAGTTGATTCTAATCAATCTTCCTGCTGCTCAACACGTACACACTAACAGATCTGTGTTTGAATGAATCCCAATCTGTTTTGTTCATCCGCATTATCAAAACGTCTCCTGACTCCAATTAACAGGAATCCTGCAACAGTCAACACCCCCTAATCAGCGACAATCAACACACAGCAGAGACTCAGGAGGACGATTTCCCCCTTTCTCACACATCCTGTAAGCTGCTTGACCTCGGGTATCCTCATCCAAGAAGGCTGTGCGTACACATGCTTAAAAATAAATAAATAAATAAAGGTTTGAGAAAGTGAGCTTCTGGCCTGGCTCCTGCAGGTTATCAGAATGATAAATCACTCCATTAACGTGCCTGCTCTGGGTCTGCTACCTGACCCAACCTGATAGCACCATCGTCACACCAAGAAACGGTCACACACACCCTCATTCACACTTGATCGCAGATGGTAGGGCTCTGCCCCTTGGCCTCTGGGTTTCCATAACATTGCCAGCCATTTTCATTGTGTTATAATCACAGCATCCTGTTTGTGACCCAGTGACATCAGTTCCTGTTTCCTCCCTGATTAAAAAATGCAGAACATGTCGGTGTGGGCCAACGTATTTTCTCACGCTTTTACTCTGAAACTGGCTTTGTACGGATGACTCTGGGTTTTCAGGAAACCACCTCAAAACTGCAGTTAGGGTGCAAGTCAAACACTCTAATCAGCGGTATTGATGCGAAGGAAACGGGTGATGTTAATGTTGCTGCCAAAGCTGATTTTGAACGCTTGAGTTTCCTATTTTGCACGTGGTCGAGGAATGTGGAAGGTCCCTCAAACACAAAACAGCTTATTTATCCTGTTTCAGTGTCAGATCTGAAGCTTGTGTTTACTTTTTTAACTTTATTCATTTCAATTTCATTCATGGTTCTCACCCAAACTTTAGAAAATATAGAAACAATTAAAATTAACAAAAAAAAGAACTTTACGGCACATACATTTATTTTGTAATTGCATTTTTAAACTGTTTTCATGCTTTAGAAATGTAGTGCTTTTCCTCCCCCAAGACACTTTCAGCACAGTCAAGTGATTTTGCCTATTTTGTTTTTCTTTTTTTCTTTTCATTTTTAGTTTTATCTGCAAGAAACTTTTGCACCAGATTTGATTGAATTTTTGTTTTTAATAACAAAGGGCCCTTTGTAATGGACACTGAGTGTTTGCTGCATTTTGTTACATTTTGTTTGTTTGTTTGTTTTGTTTTTAATATCTGAAAACACAAAAAAAAACACCAAAAGCATCTTAGCAGTTTTGCTTAATCTTTTTTGAGTTAGTGTTTTCTAATTGAACTCACCACAGAAGGCTGGAGTGAAGTGCTCCTAATGGGAACCCTAAGTCTTCAGCTTGTCCAAAATGCTGCAGCTAGAGTTCTGATGAGGATTAAAAAGAGAGACCATATCTCTCCTGTCTTAGCTTCCCTACATTAGCTACCTGTTAAATTCAGAATAGATTTTAAGATCCTTCTTCTCACATATAAAGCTCTTAATAATCAAGCTCCATCATACATCAGTGATCTAATTGTTCCATACGTTCCTAACCGAGCACTTCACTCTCAGACTGCAAGTTTACTGGTGGTTCCCAGAAAATCTAAAATTAGGATGGGAGGCAGATCTTTTAGCTATCAGGCTCCTCTCCTGTGGAACCAACTCCCAGCTTTAGTCCGTGAGGCAGACACCTTGTCTACTTTTAAGACTAGGCTTAAAACATTTTTATTTGATAGTGCCTATGGTTAAAATCTGATGTTAGCCTAGATCTGGACAAGTGGGGGAGTAGAGGGAGGTGGAGTGTACAGTCGGTAAAGACGGCTCTCCCTTGCCCTGCCTCCAACATGCCTCCATCTAAATAGGATAGATTATCCAGAGTTATCTCTGTAGTTATGCTGCTATAGGCTTACACTGCTGGAGGACACACTGACCACTTTTCACACTCAACGACTTTCTTCTACAGTCTGCTCTTTAACTGTATTATTTTCTGCAATGTCAGCTGTTAACTTTATTTTCTCTCTAAGTATTTTTCTCCCCAGAAGAAGCTACAACGATGTTCTACTGAGCTGTGGTGGCCTCATGGAGGGGGCCATCGGCTAGCACACTGCTGCTAACCACTTAAACATTCTCCCTCTCCTGAAAATAACTTTTTGTTTCCTTGATGTTGGATGTGCTACTACTAGTTTACCCGTTTAATTATAGATTCACTAGGATAAATACAATAAAGTTCATCTCTCACCAAATAGAATATTTACTAAGACATCACAATGTAACCATAGACACATTGCTTGGTGTGTGTGTGTGTGTGTGTGTGTGTGTGTGTGTGTGTGTGTGTGTGTGTGTGTGTGTGTGTGTGTGTGTGTGTGTGTGTGTGTGTGTGTGTGTGTGTGTGTGTGTGTGTGTGTGTGTGTGTGTGTGTGCGTGTGTGTCTGTGTGCGTGTGTGTGTGCTCTGTCTTCTCCATCCCCAGTGAGTCGTGGAGGATGGCTGCTTATACTGAGCCAGGATCCTCTGGAGGTTTCTTTCTGTTAAAAGGGAGTTTTCCTCTCCACTGTCGCTTTATGCTTGCTTAGTATGAGGATTGCTGTAAAGTCACTGACACTATTCAGTGACTTGATGCAACCTGCTGGGTTCCTTATATAGGAAAAAAAAAATTCTGACTGGCTTAATGAACTGACCTGAATTGGAATGTTTATTATGTGAAGTGCCTTGAGACGACTCTTGTCGTGATTTTGCGCTATATAAATAAAATTGAATTGAATTGATTTGAATTAATTGTACAGTTGTCTCTTTAATTAACACTAGGTGTCAGTATAATAAACCCACTCTACAGGAAGTAAACAATCAGCAGATGTGCAAATAAAACATCAAGTTACTCTTGAGTTCACATGTTGCATTTGATTACTCTAAATTAATCCATAAATTAGCAGGTGACGTATCTATAAGCCAAAAATCACAGGAAGATTTGTGTGATGCTTTAGCTAATTAACTGTATTTATTACATCCATTTGTTTATGCAGTTTAAGTGGTCCTGGAAATTTTACCTCATGCTGCTGAACTACAAAAAGAAAAAAAAATAGACTCTTCATTGTTGCAGGTCTTCCTTTTCTGTAACCAGACCAGAACCCTCGTGTTTCTTATCTAGTGATCGACGAGTTAGCACAGATAGCGTGAGCGGAGGGCCGAAGGAATATTCCACAGTTCAAACACAAATGCTGTGCGTGTGAGTGAAGTCTTTGGCATGTCTCAAGGAAAAAGAGGCAACAACATCAGAGAGCTGCAGAAAATGGAGCACTGTGTAAAGGGTTGGGAGCTTTCACAAATCAAACTCACAAATTGTTTGCCGCCTTGAATTTATGAGGAGCTAATACACTTATAGGGCCTCTTATCAAAGCAGATAATGCCATCTATTTATAGATAATCTATTTGCTGAGCATAGCTGAGCCTACTATCACTGAAAATAATTAGATATTTCTAGAAAAGATAGTATTTTTTCACTTTAGTCGGTCCATTTAGTATTTATAGAATTATTCTTCTTATTTTTCACTGCCTCTGCTTTTTATTTTTTGGTTTAGGTTGTCCACCTTTTGTCAAATTAGTTTAAATTAGATTAGAATTGACCACTGAAGCAGTATTTGATGACAAATTAAGATACTCAAGCAAAAGAGTTTGTGTAAAAGAGCCTGATTGTGTGTAGGTGGATGAGTGTGTGTGTGTGTGTGTGTGTGTGTGTATTACACACTGCAGCTTTGCTGTTTAATACATTCTGACCCAATGGACATTCACCCAAGGCCACAGGTTGTGTCAGAGTGACCCTCTACTGAAATGAAATGAAAGCAGAAACAACTTTTCTTCATTTCATCCTTTGTTAAACAGAGAATTGTTTTACAAGAACATCCTGTCCAAGGCAGCTCAAAACAACTGTAGTTAAAAATTGAAAGACTCTAAATTAAATCTGCAAAAACAGACCACGAAGAAGAAGAAGAAGAAACAGAAGAAGAAATAGCAAAAGAAGAGAAAGTGATTAACAGTAAATATTCAGCACTTCAATTTAAAATAATCTACATTTTTAATTTCAATAAATGTCATTGAAATCGTCTAACATGTTTATCTATCTATCTATCTATCTATCTATCTATCTATCTATCTATCTATCTATCTATCTATCTATCTATCTATCTATCTATCTATCTATCTATCTATCTATCTATCTATCTATCATTGTTTCCGTGATCAGATTTGCTTTACTTTGACTGTATTTTAGTCATGATTAATCTAATGTACATTCTGTGCTGTTCCTCTCATAACATGGATGATGAAATGTCTTGGGGTGTTACTGAGCTGCTTACAGGCCTCTGAAACGCTGTGGCAGGTTGCATCAGCCAGCATTTTCTTTTTAAAAAGACAACTTAATCGACCAATCAGCAATTGATTCCAGTATTGCGACCAATAATCTTCAAAAGAACGCCTGCGTAAGAAGCTGTATTTCAACCAATAATACAAAGACTTTAGATTTGAGCCCCGCCTTATTCAACGCAACAACATCTAATTGGGTGAAAAGGAAGTAAAACAAACCTGATTGGTTGAATCTGCTGCCTTCGTCCCGCCTTCTATCTATGGACATTATAAATACTAGAGCGAGCTCTCGCCATGTTATCGAGGAAACGCGTCGGACGAGAGTGTCGTTCTACTAGGAGGTGAACGTGAAACGTGGCGCTTTTAGAGCAGTAACATCTCTTAAACCTCGATCATCCCGTTCATTCAGTCTTGATTTACGCTGCTGCCGGTCGGCACAGCAGCTGGCCCGAACGATTTTCCGTCATCAAGTGACAGGCCGAAGCGGCTGCCATGGATTTTTAAGGCATGATGCGGCACCTCTAATGCAGTGGCAATGCATAGTGCAAGGCAAACCCCCCTGCGAAATACCATCTTCGCAACTGCCAAGCAGTTGGGCTCAAGTACCGTTCGCGGTATCCCTGCGAGCCAACCGGTACCGCTTCTCCTTGACCGGAGGAAGGTAACTAGCTAGCCGTTTTAACTAGCAACAACGACAGTGTTTTTGATCCATCGACTCATCTGAACGTCAAAATGAAACCTCAAGACATAATCAGTGGGAAGAGCAGCCTGTGGATCTTCGGGTACGGGTCTCTGGTGTGGAAGCCAGACTTCAAGTACAAGAGGAGCGAGGTCGGTCACATTAAAGGCTACAAGAGGCGCTTCTGGCACGGAGACAACTTCCACAGAGGAAGTGATGAGTTGGTGAGTTTTTCCGAGTCTAAATAATGACATGTTTTTTACGCTTTGGCTCAGATTAGATGTTTAACTGTATGTGTCCTGTTTTCCTTTTTTTTCTTTTCTTCTTAGCCCGGAAGAGTGGTGACGCTGATTGAAGATGATGACGTAAGTGGAAGTATTTTTCCTACTGGTTAGATACCGGAAATGGTTTCCAAGTCGGGAGTCATTTTAAACGAGGCATTCTTGTTTCCCCTCCAGGCAGCAACTTGGGGTGTGGCGTTTGAGGTGTCTGGCTCACAGGTGGAGGAGTCCCTCAAGTACCTCAACGTCCGTGAGACGGTCTGCGGTGGCTACGTCACAAAGATGGTGGATTTCTTCCCCGATGGGGAGAACGAGCCGCCAGTTTCCGCCTTGGTGTACATCGCCACTTCAGACAACACCCTATACCTGGGACCGGCCAGTCCAGAGGAGATTGGCGCCCAGATTGCAATGTGCAGAGGGAAAACTGGTCACAACCTGGAGTACCTGGTTCGGCTGGCAGAGTTCATGAGGAACAGCTGCCCACATGTGGAAGACCGTCACCTTTTCTCCATCGAGGCAGCAGCGCTAACTGTGGTGTCTTATCTGTTGGCAGCTCAGTAGCTCGTACCCTTCGTTTCACTTGCTAAGAGGCTCTTTCTGTAATACACCTGTTTGTGTGTTGTGCAGGTTCACACAGCCATCCAAGAGTGAAAGGGGAGCGTGTTAAACATGTCTGTACACTACCGTGAAACTTGCAGTCACCAACTGTAAACTTGGTGCGTTTTGGCTTTAGGTTTGTTCCATCAAATTTGATGCCGTCCACTTAACCGACTACATGTTTGTGAAACCACTGTACCGGATGGCCGCTGTAACAAAAGTCCAACAATAAAGCTGAAAAGACAAGTCGATGTGTTTTTGTCACATGAATTAACAGATAAAGGCTGTAATTGATACAAATTTGGGGTTAAAGTTTTAACAAATTGCATTTCCATGTAAAACAAGTGCCTGGTGGGTCCAAACAAGCTCGCATAACCTGTAACCTCCTGACCTCAGCCAAATCTGGAAACGCCCCTTTTACAGTGCCTTTTCCAGGTTTGACTCGGTGAATTGTGCTTTGAGCCAGTAATCAAAGTGCTTGGGGGGTGGGGTTATTTTTGGATTTGGACCAGTCAACTCCCCAATCCACTGGAGCACTCTGTTCCTTGGCTATAGGTCAAGTCTGAAGTACACATAACTTGGCTGGGAATAAACACTTAAGTCCTGTTTACAGACTGTTTGGAGATCCAGGAGTCTGCTGAAGACATTCCGTGTTTATTTACCGACTGGTTCAGGTGAATTTACCTTCAAAATCCATTAAATTCAAATTTTATTGCCTAGGATGTTAATCAGGTGCCAGGGTAAACACATTCCAGTACAGCAGAATCAGTTTAGTGCAGTACGATACACAACCTTTCCTGGAAAAGCCCAGCGTGCTGAAAGTGGTTCCAATAAAAACCAACTAGAACAAGTTCAGAGGGGACGTTGCTTCTGGAAAGCCCGCTGTTCCATTTTCCCAAATGTAACTAAAACTAAATCTGACATTTTTTTATTAGCTGGAAGATGAATACTGTTAGTGGTGGTGCAGAGAGAGGGAGGGGGGGATTTGAAAGAAATGTTTTGTTCTGTGGGTACATGCCATAAACTCAGATACATCTGAGGGGTTTGTGTTCATCAGGAGTGCGTACAAACACGAGAACACAAACTACTCCGAAGTGTTGCTCCAATGACATTTCAGCCAATAGGACACACTGGCCCACTGCACCTGTTTTAAGTTGTCAAATGATGGTGGCATCTTTACCCACTCCTACTAGGATGTGTTAATTTTTTATTCACTATTACACAAGTTATAAGCAGTAATCAAAGTTAGAAATTAAGGGTTGCAAAAAGATTAGGAAAACTCCATCCAGTCCGTGTGTAACAGAAATGCTGCAAAGTTTGAAACTTTAAAACTTTAGTGTCACTTTCAACTAGACATAAACGTAAATTTCTGTGGAAAGTGAAGTCATAATTTGAACCCACGTGGTGTTTTGAGCCCCGTGTTGCTCATGTGAGGACAACAAAACTAAAGCCTGAAGAAAGCTAGAAAGTGTTGTATGGGGGAAAAATGGATAGAAGTTTCAAAATAAAGTTGTTGTCGTCTTCCTCCGCTTATCCAGGTCGTGGGGGCAGCAGCCCAACTAGGGAGCTCCAGACCGTCCTCTCCCCGGCCACCTCCACAAGCTCCTCCGGCAGGACCCCAAGGTGTTCCCAGACCAGATTGGAGATATAACTTCTCCAACGTGTCCTGGGTCGACCCGGGGGACCTCCTGCCGGCAGGACATGCCCGAAACACCTCCCCGGGGAGGCGTCCAGGAGGCATCCTGACCAGATGCCCAAACCACCTCAACTGACTCCTTTCGAACCGGAGGAGCAGCGGTTCTACTCCGAGTCCCTCCCAAATGTCCGAGCTCGTCACCCTATCTCTAAGGCTGAGCCAGGCCACCCTACGGAGGAAACTCATTTCGGCCGCTTGTATCCGCGATCTCGTTCTTTCGGTCATTACCCAAAGCTCATGACCATAGGTGAGGATTGGGACGTAGATCGACCGGTAAATCGAGAGCCTGGCTTTCTGGCTCAGCTCCCTCTTCACCACGACAGATCGGCTCAGCGTCCGCATCACTGCAGACGCCGAACCAATCCGCCTGTCGATCTCCCGATCCCTCCTACCCTCACTCGTGAACAAGACCCCGAGATACTTAAACTCCTCCACTTGAGGTAGGACCTCTCCCCCGACCCGGAGTTGGCAAGCCACCCTTTTCCGGTCAAAATAAATTTCTAAACAAAGTTCATGTTTAAATTCCAGGTCTGTCATGCAATTTTTTTTTATATTTGTGGATTATTTTATATTTATAAATTTTATCCAAAGCGACGTACTTTTTCACCTACAGGGCATGTTGTGATCTGCGGGGGGAACCCACGCACGCATGGGGAGAAAGGTCACAGCCAAGTTTAAAACCTGCAACCTTCTTGCTGCGAGGCAACAGTGCTAACAACGGCGCCACCATGCAGCCCATTTTAATGTTCTCTTCAAATAAAGAACAGAAACTGTGAAATTCAGCACCTTTTATTTTCATCACTTCTATTGTTAGTAAAATCACAGATGCATTTTTTTCATATTTATGTACACAACATATAAAAATAAACAGGCAAACAAGGAAAGAAGCCACAAGTGTTGCTCTCGTCATTATTTACATCACTATAGAACTTTAGATCTGTAATCACACTATAAACAAAACAAACAACTCCAAACAGATGTAGTGCTCGTTTCACGGAGGATGGGAACCTTTGTTTTTTTCTAAAACACTAAAGAGAACCATCGTCACAGGAAAAATAAAATCTGTCTGATGGACTTCACAGGTGACAAATAACACACCTACTATCAGAAATCATCCATTTTTTTTAAACAAATAAATTATTAATAATAATCGACAACCAAATAATTTGAGTCCGTTTGATTTCTTTCATGCCGACTCAACCGGAACCTCCCGGTTTGAAATATAATTTACTTTTTTACATTCTTATTTTAAACTTTTGGACAAAAATATAACTGAGTTCCAGCTGGATTGACGCCCTTGAAACCTCGTCTTTCAAAACACCAGCTGTGTCGGTTCGTGTGCTTTAATCCTCTGTTACAAAAATAAGAGTTTTAGTAGAAAAAGCGGTTTGCTAGTGTGTGTGTGTGTGCGGGGGGGTCGTCATTAGGTGCAGCGGTTTGCACCGAGCCAGATAGAGTAACTCAAGAACATCGTATCGATCCATGAGACGCACAAACAGCTAAACTAAAGGAGAGGAAGATGAGGCTCTGTGCAGCTGACGGGAGGTTTTTTTTTTACTCTTTCAAGGTGCACGAATGATTCCTGTCACCACCAGCAGGAATAAAACAGTTTATGTTGTGGAAAAGAACTTGGAAGTTACTCAAGGTGGACGAAACTGGAACATGGATGAGATGGTTTAGTAAAATGTGTGTTTGCCTGCTAAGTTTAATCTTTCTAGTGTAGATGTGTGGGATTCACAGTGAAAACGCAGGTCAGTTATCGTGTGTGTGTGTGTGTGTGTGTGTGTGTGTGTGTGTGTGTGTGTGTGTGTGTGTGTGTGTGTGTGTGTGTAAGAGAGAGAAGGCGGAACGATGTGGGTGAATGTCATCGAGCCCCAGGACCAGCGGGGCCCTTGCCCTTCCTGACGGCTCCATGGCTGCTGTGCTGGTGGTGGCTATGGGTCAGCTGTGTGTGGGGGCTCAGGGTGGCCGGGCCTCCTTTGGCATGAGGGGAGGAGCTTCTGCTGGGGTTGAAGTTTGGGTTGGTACCGGTTCTGCTGCCCAGAGAGGGCTGCAAGAGGCCGGCTAAAATAAAAGGTAGAGAAACACAAATATGTTTAGAAAGTCTGTACGTGTGTTTTTTGGGGGGTTGTTTATTGTCTGATGAATTATGCACATGTGGCAGATTTTAGCCACCCCCACACATGTGCTGATCAGGTTGTGACACCAACAGAAAAAAAAATCCCACACAAACACGTGCTGCAGATCGTCCCGTCCCTACCCACCTTTGGAGACGTCGTATCCATAAGCAGCATAAGCTGCAGCTGAAGCAGCTGCTGCTCCGGCCATGGCTCCAGCCTTAGCTGCTGCACTCCCTGCAGACTTCCGCCCGCGGCCTTTTCCTCCGGATTTTGCCCCGCCTCCGGATCCTTTAGGCCGCCCTCGACTCCGACTGGACCTCCCCCTGCCGGTGCTAATGGACTCTGAGGCTGAAACACCTATGAAGCAGAATCAGAATGAATACTCCCCGTTATTGATACTTGTGGCGAATACTTAGGTAAAGAGCTTGATTTGACATTTTTGTAAATGAGGGATATGAGAGGTGCTTTTGCATTTTGCTGCTGTTGTACTTTAGTTTAATTTTACTCAGCTTTCCTTTAATCCTCCTGACGAATAATTCTCAAGCTCAGTGGCTAAAGCTAATAAACAAGCTTCCTCCATTGCTGTTTTGTTTTGTCTGCTGGTCCGTCCCCTGTAGTGTCCGGGCGGCACATGTCACTTATATGTTCCCACCACGCTTTGCGGCTCTTTTTCAACATTTATTTATAATCGTTTATGAACGTTTACAAATTGGCACGTGTCACATAGCGGTGCATCCATTAAATGGTGAATCAGCACACTCCTAAAGCTGACTCCATTTTTCACTAGTCAAGTAAAAACGCAGGTCTCTTTTTCCATCCCGACTCCCTCTCTGACCACACACCTCTGAGAATCAGTTTCCTTTAAATGTTTCACTCCATTTGCTGTGAAAATCTTCCCTCTTCGTCCGGTCTTCTAGGTTAAGCTCACTCTTCCTGCCTCTTTGCTGATTCCTCAACAAAAACCAGCTTTCATTAAAACCTCATCTGCTTCCTGAAGAGCTCTCTGGGTCAGGAGCATCTTAATCAAAATCCAAAGTAGGTTTCAACAAGGCGCTGAGTTTTTAGGAAGATATTTCCTTAAGGCAACAGATCTGAATGTCCAATCGTCTGGATTTTGTTCCTTTCCCTCACCGTTCATGTTGTCCGAGACTGATCCCGAGATTGATGCTGGGGAGTTGGTAGCACGAGACTGAGGCGCTGAAGAGACCGGATCATCCACGATGACCAGCATGTCGCTGCTGCTCTCATCTGCATCTGCGTCCGGGGGCAAGGAGCCCGGTTGGAGCTCGCTGCTCAGGGAGATCTGTCCGTGCACAGGAGCAAGCACAGACACGGACAAAGGCTGAGGGTCAGGAGCCGGGTCAGCACAGTTAAAGGGCAGTGAGAGAGGAAGGGTGGAAGGAAAAGAGGAAAGGAAGTAAAGGATATAAGGAAATGTTGGAATGAGAAGGAGACGTGAAGTAAGATGGAAAGAAAAAAATATAGAAAATAATTTCAAAGGCGCAAAGTAGAAGATTGTAGGGGAAAGAAATCACCTGTCTGTCACTTAAACAGCCTCAAAACAAACACACACACACACACACACACACACACACACACACACACACACACACACACACACACACACACACACCAGCAGCAGCAGTCTCCTCACCTCACTGAAGGGACTGGGCATGGCCGAGTCCATCTCCACACTGATGAACGAGTCGTCTCCATCGGCCGACAGGTTGGAGTTATCGGCTGAGGGCGCATGGGATATGACCAGGTTGGCTTCCTTTTTCCTCTTGTTCTCAAACTCCTCGTTCTTCTTCTGCAGACACAGTAAGCAGAGTGGTGGCAGGTGAGAGGAAAATCCCACGTTGGATAAAAACATTTAGAATGGTTATTTTGGTCAAAACCCAGAATATGGTTCAGGCACCTTCTCAGCGTACTTCTCCCTCTTCCGCTTGCGCTCCTTCACCTTGCTGCTCTCCTCCTGCTGCTTCTTCTCCTCTTGTCTCTGACGCACTGCAGCAACAGATGCAATAATGTCACTTTTATTTTAGTGAAACGTTTAGATCTAAACGATCAGAACTCACATTTCTTCTCAAGCTCGTCATCATCCAAGAGCAGGCTGACCACTTCTTTAGGTTTGAGTGTGTCTGGTTTAAAGTTGCCTCCAGAAATGACCACTCTCTGGATCTGGGTACACATGATCAAGCATTCATTCACTATTTATTACAAATAAAATACCATTCACCATGATAAATGTTCTTCTCTTGCGGAATTTTTAGGGTTAAAAGTACACATTCACACCTCGCTCTTCTCCTTGGCGCGCTGCAGGATCCTCTCTTCGATCGTCCCTTGACAGATCAGGCGATAGACGGTGACCTGTTTGGTCTGACCCAGTCTGTGGGCGCGGTCCATGGCCTGCTGGTCCACAGTGGGATTCCAGTCGCTGTCGTAAAATATAACCTGAAAAAGAAAACCAGCACAATTAATTCGACTTTAGTTAATTTAAGGGTGTCCAAAATGCCTTTTGAACCAGAATTCAATTAAATTCAATTTTATTTATATAGCGCCAAATCACGACCCAGGTCAGTTCATTAAGCCATTCAGAAAAAAAATGTTTCCTATTTAAGGAACCTAGCAAATTGCATCAAGCCACTGACTAGTGTCAGTGACTTTACAGCAATCCTCATACTAAGCAAGCATGCAGCGACAGTGGAGAGGAAAACTCCCTTTTAACAGGAAGAAACCTCCAGAGAATCCTGGCTCAGTATAAGCAGCCATCCACCACGACTCACTAGGGATGGAGAAGACAGAGCAGATACACACACACACAGACACACATATACATGTTTTTATGGGTTTGTGTGGACTACGTTTTCTGAGTTGTTTGTGTGGACCCTGACTTCCACTATAGCCAGAATGGTGCAAAAATTATGTTTAACTCTAGGTGGGACAAAGGAAGCTTCCTCTAGGATTTTGGTTGTGTGGACCGGGTAAATGTCCCCACAATGGTGAATGTCCACACAATGTCGGTCTCCCGTCAGGGTTTGGTCCACACAAACCCATAAAGACAAGTGCACACACACACACACACACACACACACACACACACACACACACACACACACACACACACACACACACACACAAGCTTCATATTCAACATCATGAGACAGATCAGAGGGATTATAGGTCTGGGAAGAAAAACACATGAACTCTTAGGCCTTTTTTTCTTTGACTCACTGTGTCAGCAGCGGTCAGGTTAATGCCAAGTCCTCCGGCCCTCGTACTAAGCAGAAACACAAAGATGTCCGTGCTGTGGACGGAAGAAGATAAAGAGGAGAAACAAATGTTAACTTTATTGGTTGAGACTGAGATCAAGACTTTTCAAGGTCTGGAAAACAACACATTCCATGCTTTTAAAGACCAAGTTCACTCAGATTTTCAACTTTTTTGCAGAAGTCTCTAATATAAATGTATACCTTGTGAGTCAATCTCTCTGGGAACATATCTCTGGTACTCCTTTATCAGAAAGTTAGCCAGATCAGAGCTGAGCTTCAGACGGCAGGATATGGAGTCTTATTTCCTGATATTTAGACATCTCCTTTCTGATTGGCTAACAGCAAGACGACTTTACCACTGACTCAACATTGATATTTTATTGCCACAAATCACAAGTCTGTAGACGTTCTGCCATGTTATAGCAGTTGCTAATGCTAACAGTTAGCCTCTACTAGCCAAAATGTGCTCTACTCTCTCCTGGATGCTAAATCAACAACAGCCTTCCCCATCACGAGTCAAGATGAGTGAGTCCATGAACGCTAACTTGACAAAATGATGTGTAAATGTCACAAGCTGCTCTAATCCAAAGTTCCCTGTCTAGGAAATAGGGGTAGACGACTATTTTTACATTTAGCTTGCATGTTTAACTCAGAGTGACTGATATTATTTAAAAAATAACAAGTAAAAACTATTTCTCAGTGAACTTATTCTTAGACTTTCAAGACTCATGCAAGCGTACCCAAGGGTGTTACTATATAAATACTGGGGATGTGTATTGGTGAAATTTTGGCGATACAATACGTATCACGATCCAGGGGAGACGAGACAATGTATCATGATATATTGTGATACATTCAGTCAGACGTTAATAGCGATTTTTTTAGACTGAATTTACTGTAGGAAAATTCAATTAACAGTCCAAACTGATCCTTAACATGTTTAAGATGAGGTATCTGAACCATAACAGAGGGATTTACTTTTCAGCGGTGGAAAAAAAAATACATTGCACACTGCTGCCTACTAGCGGCCGGCATTTGAAGTGCATCAAAAGAAAAGAAAATACACAAATGCTTGCATTTAAATTCTTTAAAAGGTTAGATACACGACTTTTGAATATCGATGTACCATTGCAGGAAAAAATATCACAAAATATTGCCATATCGATATTTTCTTACATTCCTAATAAATACATGCAAAAAGTCACATAATAATTGTAAAGAGCGGTTCTGTTGGAAGAGACTGATACAGATTTTATTGTGTAGCTGGTTAAAAAATGGGGCACATTTTTATCATTTAAGGCAGATACCAAAGCTGAAGCCATACCTTCCTGCTAATGTCCTCGAACGTGTCATCCATCTGTTCGTGTCCTGCTGATTGGACTACTGCAACTCCCTGTATTCTGGCCTGGACCAGTCCTCCCTACACCGACTTCAGCTGGTCCAAAATGCAGCGGCCCGCTTGCTGACTGGAACCAGCAAACGGGATCACATAACCCCGGTTCTGACCTCTCTCCATTGGCTTCCTGTCTCTTACAGGATCCATTTCAAAATTTTACTTTTGGTTTTTAAATCCCATGACCTGGCCCCAATTTACATCTCTCTGAGCTGCTGTCCGCTTACGTCCCTGCCAGAACCATGAGGTCCAGCTCCCAATGCCCTTTTAACAGTCCCCAAAAACCCGCCACAAGACTCGCGGCGACAGAGCTTTCTCTGTGGTTGGTCCCAAACTGTGGAATAAGCTACCTCTCAACATCAGGACCACACAGAATCTAGAGCATTTTAAATCCCTTCTTAAGACGCATTTTTTTGATACGGCTTTTAATGCAGGCTGACTTGAGCATCTTAATAGTTTTTAACAGTTTTTATTACAGATTGTGACGGTTGTGTGCTCATCTTATTTTAGTTTTTTACTGTTGATCTGTTGTACCTTGGTTTGTTTTACCTTGTACAGCGCTTTAAAACATTCCTTCCTTCCACCAGAGGCTGAAAACCCCGTCACATCACTTTTTGGTGTTTATCAATTGAAAAAAAAATTTGGAAGAAAAAGCCTATTCAAACGAGTTCAAACTCCGGTTTTCAGTTAAATAAAAGCCCACACAAAACTATCAGAGGGGTTTGTTTATTTCCACCACATAAATCATCTTCAAAGATTTTTTGCTCACCAAACCCTCACCCCCCACCCCTTTCAGAGAACCAAGGACTAATGCATGCCAGAGCATGCGGACTCCACAACATAC